GATGCTCCAGATTTTGCCACCATGTCTTGGCATGGGAACCTACCACTACCCCTTCTGAGCTTTATCTTAAGTGCTACTCCCCACATTAGAATACAATTTTTTGAGGCCAAGAATTATCTTTCTTTTTGTTTATATTTTGATTCCCAGCTCTTAGGAGAGTATTTGGCAATAGTAAATGATTAATAAATGCTTGTTGACTGTCTGACTAATCTATATTATTTCAGACCAGCTCTGCTTATTTAATTACTTAAGGTGAATCCTACTAAGAGTCCCATTATTACAGGTAATTGATTTTCAAGTCAGTATTCTTCCTGTCTTACTGACTCATATTACTTCACATTCTAGGTGAATATATTAAATGGGATTTCAAGCTGATATCCTATTAAGGCAATTTTTTTAGGACTAAAATGAGGATACTATGAATTTCCCTATTTATGATCACATAATATTTTTCTATTCCAAGGAGCTATCAATTTGTTATTTTTTTAATGTTCTGGCCTGTGTCTCCAATTTTATCTATTCTAAAAGCAAAAATAAGCATTAAGGATGGATAAACTATTCTTCAGAATAGTGAGCAGAAGCAAGAAATTAACCCATGGAATAATTTCTATTCACTTATGAAGTTGGCTAACTAAAACAGCAATCTAAGATTTTTCTTCACTCTCTATTTCAAATGAAAATTCTACCATTTTGATCATACAAATGTGAAAAGGACCCACATGTACAAAAATATTTATAGAGCTATTTTGTGGTGACAAAGAATTGGAAAGTGAGAGGATGCCCATCAACTGGGAATGGCTGGACAAGTTGTGGTATATGAATGTAATGGAATACTGTTTTGTTATAAGAAATGATGAACAGGCTTACTTCAAAAAAACCTGGAAAGACTTGTATGATCTGATGATGAGTGAATTGAGCAGAACTGGGAGAACATTGTACACAGTAACAGCCACACTGCGTGATGGCTAACGTTGATAGACTTAGCCCTTCTCAGCAATACAAGGATCTAAGACATCTCCAAAGGCCTCATGGTGGAAAATGCTATCCACATCCAAAGGAAGAACTATGGAGTTGGAATGCAGATCGAAGCATACCATTTGCTATTTTTTTTCTTCTGTTGTGTTTTGTTTCCTCTTTCTGCTGGTTCCTCCTATTGGTTCTAAGTCTTACTTACAATATCACTAATGTGAAAATATGTTTAATAGGCATATATATGTATAGCCTATATCAGATTGCATGCCATCTTGGGGAGGGAGGTGGGAAGGAAGGGAGAGAAAAGTTGAAACTCAAAAGCTTATCAAAGTGATTGTTGATAAATCAAAATAAATTAATTTAAAAAAAATTCTACCATACCAAACTGAATAAAAAAAATGGCACCATAGTGCACAGAAGTGTACCAAAATAGTAGGAGAGCAAGGTATAAATGAATGCTCAAGTTTGGGATTTTCCACCGTCTTTCCTCTCAGAAGTGACTTCATCACATTAAGTAACTGAAGTTACTCAGTGTACCCATGAAATGGAATAAGAAATCTGATATCTGCCACATTAAGGTATCTCTGCAATTTCTCAGTAAAGATTAATAGTCTTGGGAGAGCACAGTGATTCTTTATACTTTAAGTGCATCACTTTCTTCATGGAGAAACTCTTTCTGAGGGTAAATGGGCTCTGTCTCCAGAGACAAGACATTTGGGGTCTCTAGTAGTGCAATCCATTTTTATTTGTCCATTTCATCTTGATGTAGTTATTAGAGTCACTCTAAGTAAAAGATGTGTCTTTCCTGTTGAAGTGCTATGAATATGCTATCCACAGACTGTCAGGTGCTGCAGATTTTTCTTTTAAAAGAAATATGATTCTGAAAGATCCTCTGAGAGACCATTTAGAACAAGTTCCTTTTTTATTTAATGTTCCTTCCTCCATAGAAGTAAGGCCTTCTGCTTGCTTGTTTCAGGATGAAAGATTAGAATATATAAGCAATACAATGTGTCCCATACCCTCCCTTTGCTCCCTTGCTATTACAGTCAAACAGTCAGTAATACAATCTTTATTTATTAACTGATCACTATGTCCCAAGAACTATGCTAGACTTTGGAAAAGCTATAAAGTGCAATGTTATCATTTCCTTATGAAGAAAAACTGTGGCCATGATAGGGAGGCCTTCAGAAAGAGCAGTTATTTATCTTTTTGAGGAGGATGGTAGTACTAAAAGCAATCAGATTGGACCAAGAACTGAATATTATACTTTGTTTCATTTTTAACAAGTTCATATCTGCTTTACATGTATAGATATGTTACAGAAACTTAAGACCAGAAAAAGGATGAGTGAGAAAGAACAGATGGAATATGGAAAAATCATACCCATATCCACAAAATCTGAATAGAAAGACCTCTAGAACATTGGGTACATCCTATATATTGGGTTAATCTCTACAGTCTGACCCGAAGCCTTATCATTCAAACAAATGACCAAAGATCTCTCTCCAATGTTATCAATGATCTATTAATTATGAAATGTAATGGTTTTTCACCATTCTTATCATCCTTGATCTATCCTTTGAAACTCTCAGTCGCACTCTCTTCTCCTTGATAAATACTTTCTCTGGGTTTTCATGATTCTATTCTCTCCTTAGTTCTCCTCTTACCTCTCTGACTGTTCCTTCTCAGTGTCCTTTGCTAGATCTTCATTCAGATCTTTCCCTCTAACCATATGGGTCTCCCAAGGCTCTATCCTACACCTTCTATTCTTCTACTTCTATACTGTTCCTCTTGGTGATTACATCCTCTCTGATGTGTTCAATTATTTCTGTGCTAATGATTCCCAGATTTATTTATCCTGGCCTAGACCTTTAGCCTCACATCGATAACATTTGAACTGAATGGTTTAAGTTATCTTTAACTCAATATGCCCCAAACCAAGCTCATTTTTCACCCAAACCTTCCTTCCTTTCTAATCTTTCTATTACTTTCAAGGTTACTGACCTCCTCTAAATCACCCAGGCTAACAACCTAAGTATTATTCTGAACTTCTCACTTTCTCTCACCACCAACTCTGCCAATTCATATCCAATTAGTTACCAAGTCCTGTCAGTTCTACTTTGTAACACCTAGTGAATTTCTCCTCTGACAGTGACACCTGCCTAGTTCAGGCCTTCAGAGCCTTATCCACTCTCACCTGGATTACTGCAATAGTTGCTTACCTCATCCCCTGACTTCAAGTCTCTTCCCACTCCAATCCATCCACTTAGCTGTTAAACTGATTTTTCTGAAGTTCAGGTCTAACCATGCCACTCCCCACCACTATTTAATACAGTCCAACAGCTTTCCCTCACCTCCAGCATCAAATATGACATCCATTGTTTAGCCTTGCAATCCTTCATAACCTAGCTCTTTCCTATCTTTCCAGTTTTGTTACAACTTACTAGCCTCCATGAAATGAAGAATCCAATGATATTGGCCTTTTTTTTTTTTTGTCTCTTGAACAAGTGATTCCGTCTCTTGACTATGGGCATTTTCAATGGTAGTGCCTCATGCCTAGAAATCTGTCCTTCCTCATCTCTGCCTCCTGATTTATCTATCTTCCCTCAAGGCTGAGCTAAAATCTTACCTTCTGCAATCAGCCTTTACCAAACCCAAACACAAAGTTGTCATCTATTTATTCTGATAATATCTGGTTTGTAGATAGTTGTTTGCATATTATGTCCCCTATTTTATTGTGAAATCATTGAGAGCAAAGACTTTTCTTTTTTTTTGCCTCTCTTGGTGTCCCCAAATACCATGACACATAGTAGGTGATAAATGCTTTTTGCCTTGCTGTTGTAGACATATGGAAAAGACACAGACAAGAATTAAATGGAATAAGAAAGATAGAGGTTTGCAGTATACATCAGTGAAGAGAACCCATAAGATCATGGATTCATTTAAATATTGGAGAAATTACATTCATGGGTCACTTTTCTGCCATGTCACATTCTTGCAGGCATTATGAGCATTTATGTACTTTAAATAGCTAGCACCTTCAGGTCACATCATTTCATTTTCTGGATTGGCCCCGAATGCCAGAAAGTAATAATCTTTACAAATGAAACACTATAATTTCATATTTACCTTCATACATGCTGTATCACTCTGGCTAAATTTCTATTAACCAGCAGCTAATTCAGTAACCCTAGATATACTCAGTTACTCAGAGCAACATATTGATGACAGTAACATAATGAACTGTATCTTTGAATAACTCAATTACTTTCACTCTGCTAATGAAAATAGCTCAATACTATATTCCTAAATTCATCTGGGCTTTTCAGAAATCTACTATTATGCTTGCAGAAACTCAGGCAAAGACTGCACGAATCAATACAAACTACTACTGGGGAAAAAAATAAAACCACTCTCTGAGTTAATGATGGTTAGAGTACTATCGGCTCAATGGATTTAGGTTCCTCTGAAAGTGATATATTAAAAGTGTCACTTTTGTAAATGAAAAATTAAATACAACTCTCTAACAACCTTTAGCTTAACAAAATTCAGAAAGCTCCGATTAGAAAATATTATATATTTATATCTTATTTCATTAACATATGAAGTGGTGAGTCCTTTTGTATCTAGCAACCATTCATGTGTTTCTAGTCATTCCTAGCTGATTGTTTTAAATGCTGTTGTGTACTTTTAATAAAGGCCATTTCAGTGAGTGTGAAACTACAATAGCCAAGACAGGTTCTAATGATAACTAGATTACAACTTGGTATTATAAGAAATGAGGCAAACCACTTTCTCAATGCACATATAACGATATCCATCTCCTTTAAACTAAATTACACAAATTCTAATGGTGATTCTGCCTACGGAATTAGAATAATTTTATTCAGCCTGGATTTTATTGCTTCATATTTTAGATTGACATGAAACAGATCACATATTTTCACATGTAAAAAGTATTGTGGTATGGATAATCACATTTTCTTTCGTGCTGCATCTTTCTGAATAGAAAGGTTCTGCTATCTTACCTGAAGTTGTCTTCACCACCTCAGTAGTATTTCTTAGTCCAACAAATGAAAACTGATAAAGCCTCCAAGACCTTGTATCTCCTACTTCAACAGAGCTGCGCTTCCATTGATAAACAATTTCTTCCTGTGGGTAGCCATCTTCCATGCAATGAAAAGGAGGTTTATAATGATTATTTAGAGCACTTATAATGTGCTTAAAAGAAAACAAATCTTGTGATTATAAAATACCATTTTAAACTTTTTACAGGATTTTATAATATATTGTTTCATTTGACATGCACAACTTTGTGTAAACTCTGTGATGGCAGTATCTAGTTTGTTTAGGTATTTGTGAAAAAGCCCTGTACACAGGAGTTACTTAATAAATGGTTGCTGAATTGACTTTCTTAAAGATAGAGTAAGGCAGTTATTCTAATTACAATACTGAGCCTCATCAAAGTAAAGTGATTTGCTCAATACTAGAGAGCAAAGTGACGTGTGCCGGATAAAAGTTTAGCTTTTGTGACTTTGAACTCTGTCATTTTTCCACTTAGATAATTGGCTGCTTGTTTTTGCATTTTTCCTTATTTTATCTTTTACTTAAAATACAGATGAAAATATATCATGAAAGCATCATTGCCATTTCACCTTTCTAAGAATCTACCACTGGGAAAATTCAAGATTCCTTAGGAACTAATTGTCCAGAGCTAATTGTCAATCTTGTAGTTTTTTTTTTCTTTTTAATCTGGTCTTTTGGCCATTTTATATCTTCCACATGACCCTACCAGACAATGTAGGAAGGAGATAAGGTGGAGAAAAGAAATAAGTTCAATGTTGGTAGGTGAAAATTGATGAGAAAAATAAGACTAGAGAATTATTTACACATAAGCTGAATTGGGCAACATTATTTTAGGGAAGATATACTTTTGAGTTTAACATTCTAAGGACAGAAAAAAGTTTAGAGAATGAAAAGCCCATAACTCTAAAATATAATGAAGAATAAGCTTTAAGTTTCTGTTCTACTCTGGTCAAGAATATTAGCTTTCTTAGCTTCACCAGTATATAAATTGTGAGAAAAGGTCTATGATTCAAGGCAGTAATAGGCTTTATATTTGTTATTAAATGAATCAAGTACCTGGCTGTGTTGATGAAAACAAATTAAAATAAAATGCAAGAGGCAAAAATGCAAATTTATACAATTGCATGGTGACATTATTTTTTCTTGATTTCCTGATCTGTCAGTGGATGAAGATTTTTCTTTGGAAAGCTTTAAGGAGATGTACTATCCAATGTTTTAATAGGACGAAACTGTGTTTACTAAATGCAAATCAGACGAATGTTGTGCTTCCCGCACTACCTCTAAACATTTGCAAGACCAGTCAATATCAGGAATGCTAGAATTACCTCTGATAGTTTTTAAAAGAATTTGTGATCTAAGAGTGGATTATATTTCTAAGAACATAATATCTAATTTCCTATCTAGCCCTACATTCTAGTTGTTCAACATAATAACCAAGATTCTGTGACTCAATGAGATGATACCAAAAAAAAAAATTGTGGTCTAACATGCTTAACCTATGAAGTTTAATTCATTAAATATTTATTAAGTGGCTACTGTGTGTCAGGCACTATTCTAGGCACTGGGGATATAGAGACAAAAATGAAATCACCCCTACCCTTTCTTTCATTCTACTTTGGCATGTTGGTATTGGTGAAATAAAAAAAGTACACAGATAAATAAATGTAACACATATATAAGATAATAGAAACATTTAATGAGGCAAAGGTCATAAATAATGAGGAGAAAGGAAAGGACTTAACAGGAGGGGATGGTAACTTAGCTGTGGCAAAAGACTTTGAGGAATCTCTAAGGTAGATTTTGAGGTTTGTTTTTAGATCTGCTATTCTACACAGTATAAAAAATATCTGTTCCCACTGTAGTTAGCTAAAAAGCAAAACAGAGCCTTAATACAAAGCACAGTTAAAATCTAGTGAAGGGAAAGTTTTCTTCCTTTGAAAAAATTTTACTTTCTTCTTCCATAGAAATTCTGGGGTCAGGTGCTACATGGTGCACTGATTTTTGAAATTTTTACAACAATTTTGAAAAGATCACATGTGACTAAAAACTTTAGTTTTTCCCAATGCAATGTAATTTAGGAAACCTAGACTTCTAAGAGGCAGAATTTTTTGTTTGTTTGTTTTTTGTTTTGTTTTCAGTGTCTGTATGTTGTTTTTTTAATAAACTAGGATAGTTGGCAAATGTGAATCTGATAAATGAGAACATAATTTAGGTTTTCATTTCATATTCATATTTCATTTCATTCATTTCATTTTCTATTCATTTCACAAATTCCATATAATAGATAATTTATAACAATTGAATTAACAATTGGATATAATAATTGAAAAGAAATCAAAAGTTATGTAGTTCAATGCCTACTTGAAGCATGAATTTCCTTTTCCAGCTTCCCTTCCTACTAGTCATCCAGCTTTTGATCTTAAAAGAACAAACAGATTTCAAGTACTTTACCACACTCATTGTTCATTTGCAAATCAAGTCCCATTTATTAATATCTCCAGTTGTGGAAAGCTTTTAAGCAGTGAACTTTCTGTTCTACCTTATTAGATAGCTTAGGACATTTTAATATCTTTTTTCCACTTAAATAAATTTTTGGTCCATTTCTATAGCAGAAATATGGATCCTTACCATTTTTTAAAAATAATTAACTTTTATCAGAATGGTTAGTATTTGTCTCTTTTTATGTTAACAGAGGAAATGGCCATGGTGAGATTTAAATGGAGGCATTACTTACAGCTGGAGAATTCCAAGGGGCAGGAATGTTCATCCATTGGGAAGTTATGCAACTGTAACTGGCACTCAGCATCTATTGTCAGTCTATGGAAAGAAAATGTCTAATGTTTAAATTAGTCAAAATGAAAACTTGTTAAAACTTCTACTGAGTTGACAGCCAGCCATGGACCTAGGAGAATAAATCTCTTGTGAGCAGACAAGAATGAAATTTGAAGGGGAAAATAATATCCACCTCAAGAATTCTTGAACACAGCATTACATTTCTCATTTATAGAAACCAAATAGTAAAATGTCATTTATTTCAAGCCAATAATTCAGAATTTGTGATCACTTAACCAGGCAAATTTTAGAAATTATTTTTCTCTAGTCTATTAATTATTGGTACATTAATGTAGGGAAATATGGAAGGAGAGCATAATTAGCCTCCTTAAGAGAACAAATAGATTTCAAATACTTTAGCACACTCATTGTTTATATGCACATAAAATCCTACCTATTTATGAATGAGAATCTTCTATTTGGAGTCTCACTGTTATCAATAAACACAAGTCAATTAAATATACTTTGCTTTTAAATCTCCAAATTTGCTTTTTAAATCTCCAAGTCAAATTCCTTCATGATTCCCAGTTGGTGAGGTTTTACTGTACCCAGGAAAGGGATAGCCTATTTGCCAGTTGTGGACTGTTTCTTTTCTTTAACAAAAGATCATTAATGCCTCACTAAGATAATATTTTACCCATCATGAAATTTCATCCTTAATTTAGCTTTATCTATAGGAAACTAAAAGGGAAATACTGAAAGGGGGAAAGGATAAAGCAGGAAAAAAGAAAGAATTAAAAAGAGCGTAAACCTATCCCCATAGGTAGTTTGATTCAAGCCTTAATTGACAGGTACATAGGAGTCACCTCTTAGTGACTCAATGACATCAGTACTACTAATGCCTAATTGATAAGAAGAGACAAATTAATGCCAGAGAAATAGTATGCGACGTTGTCCTCTGAGGAGAATGCTAATTGGGCCTCTGAAAATGAAACTAATTTAATATTTCAAAAGCTTTGTACTACTTTTTTGATACATCAGACAGATTTTGATCTCCAATGGATTTTAATTACAATTATGCCTCTTATCTAATATTGAAATGTATTCCATAATGGATATAAAATATCAACCATCCTCTTTGCAAATGAGATTTTTTTAATAATACCTACAAGATCAATATGACTAAAATTTGAGACTCACTTTTAAGGGACTGTATTTTAAATAATATTAAATAATATATACTATTTTACATTTGCATAAAATATATAATCCAAATCGACTGGCAGTGATTTTATACATATTATGCTAAGATCTGAAAGAATAAACAAATTTAAAAGAACACTAATCCAATACTCCGTAGACTTAGGTGTTGTTGTCTAGTTCCTAACATTTATTACATCAGAATGGATATGAAATAATTGAGGTATTTGAGATTCAAGTACTCTTGTCAAATTAGCTAATGTAGGAAACTATGAATTCATATAAACATGTGATAGTAATTGTATAGAAAAAATATAGAGAGATAATTTAAACAGGAAACTTTTAAAAACATTTTTAATTCAAATAATCCATGGTAAATAATTCATAAGTTAACTCATCTATTCGTTATGTACTCTCAAAAGCTGTGTATACATGATGCCCAATTAACTAACCAAATCAATGGAGAAAATAATCAAACTTCATATTGTGAAGAAACAACAATAAAATAAGGTTAAAGGGAATGTTTCTATTGGTTTTCAATCAGCCATGTTAGTCGTATAGACATGGTCAAGGTTACAGACACTTCATCATTCAAAAATATCTCTGTAGTAATGGTTTCCATTGAAGCCAAGGTGTTTTAAAGTGTATCAACTATTCAGTGATCCTAGAGATGACTTATTCAATCAATACTTCCCTAGCTTTCAATTAGTAGAACTCACTATAAAATGATGAAAGTATGGGAAGGATACATATGTTATTACTGGCAGAAAGGCAACAATAAATGCCACCAGGGCATGACAGAAATCCTACTATTAATTCACATAAGCATTACTGCCAATAACCCTCTTCATATTTAGATATCTCCAGGAATTTGTCAAAACTGGATGGGGGGGGAGAACTCATTTCACAAGATTAGAATGCTTTGCTGTCTACCTGAAATGTGTTGAAAATTCCAATTATGCATTTAAGTACTGAGAATAATATTTGCTCCCTTTTTCCTTAATGTCATCCAAACTTTTAACAGAAGAAAACGCACCTGAGTGTGTATAGTACACGGCCATCATTCCAAATTCTGAGCATGCGGTTAGGCGTCGTGATCCAGTGGGCATCGGCTTTTTTGGAGTTCCGGAAAAAAGTGTCTGGGATCCAAATCTTCCCAACCATGTTGCTATTGAGCCTGAGGACCTTTATGGTACTGTTAAATTTCAGGCGTCTGTCGTACCAGGTTTGCGCAAAAAAAATGTCAATTGTATACTCCTGTTGTTTTAAAGAAAACATGAAGTCAGCCAGTCTAAGATCATCAGAAGGATATTTTGACATTATCTTTCCTCCAGCTTACTGAATTTAGAAGGAGGATGAAATTACTTTTATTTTTGTGACCCTGTTAACTAATTTAAAGTGCAATAAAAATTTGTTTTTTGGCCGTGAGCAACAACGAAACATTTCCTAAGATCGATAAAAGTCTTCTACTACAAAGAGACATTAGCAAGTGAATTATTTCACAAGAATCCAGCACTAATGTGAGCCAGCCAATTCCATATCCCATGGTGCTAATCAAAGCTGAAAATTCTCCTTAAAGTAACAGTTTGATCCTTTGATCCACTTAAGTTATTTTCCAAGTAAGTTGAGAAATGACCCCAATCAAACAAAGTCCTATTCATACTCTACTCACTTTTCTCAAAATCCTACCAACTGAAAGATGCCTTCTTGTGGATGCCCTGTCTTTTCCTTAGACTATTCTACATGCAGTCCAGCATTACAGACCTTGTAAAAAGGGAAGACACCACGATATCAGAAGGAATACTGGCTAGCTTTAAAATCACAAGAGTGAGAATCTATTCCTGTCAGTAGCTGGCTATGAGACCTTAAGCATAGATGTAGGAGCACCACATATCAATATAGAGGGTGCCATATATGAGGAGCAGCAATTTGGCCAATTTGGCTGCGATGGAGAAAGCATGATAGAGCTAACATTTTGTCATAGACACAAAATCCATTTTCACTATGTATTTCATTGTGCTTGTAACTTTTACTTAATGACACAAATGACTAGAAAAATAGTTATTGGGAAAGTTGCAATATCAGAGATAAACCTTCACTCACTTTTTCTTTGTTACACATGTACAAACTATAAAAATGAGAACCAAACATTTTCTATAATTCTTCATCAGCTAATTACCTTTTGTCTCAGTAGTATTATTTAAGACACATATAAATGAGAACCAGATATTTCTGGTATAAATAATAGACAGCATGGCATATAAGCTATTATCCTATAGCCTTAAAAATATGTAATCACAATTGTGTTTTAGGGAATCCAGTACACTGGTTATACTTATCATATCTTACTGTTGTTATTCCATCTACAGTATTTGTTGAGAAATTTCCAACTTTAAGCTAACTACTTTTCCATTTTCAAAAATACCCCTATACTCAATTAAAAATGAAATTTCCTTTGTGGTACCCAGCAAAGTGTCTTGAAAATAAGAGTCACTTGGGGGCAACTGGGTGGCGCACTGGATAGAGCACCAGGCCTGAAGTCAAGAGGACCTGAGTTCAAATCTGACCTCAGATCAAACACTTGACACTTACTAGCTGTGTGACCCTTGGCAAGTGACTTAACCCCAATTGCCTTACAAAAAAAAAGGAAGAAGAAAATAAGAGTCACTGAAGAAATATCTGTTGAAAGTGAGAAAATTTTAAATAATTACAAAGCCTAAACACAAAACCCAGAGGCCTTTTCAAACGATCAGTTTTTAAAGTTAACACCAAAATATAGACCAAAACCTAAAACTCACCATGTTAATAGCATTCACTGGTCCAATGCTATTCACATACATGTCAGTGTGAATTAATGTTGGTTTTACTGTGAAGAAAATAAAAAATATATATTACATGAATAAGTAAAAATCACCAATATTAATGTTATATGGCTTAGCTTTAGCTGATTGAATAATTTTCATCTAAGGTGATAGAAATATATCTTTAACTTGAATCAATGAATAAGGTAAACATTTACATAAATGTGACTTTCACAAAAAACTCCTTTGAAAACTGCCAATATTTGATTGTTACTGTCATAATTATATTTGTTCAAAATGCACAACTTGGGAAACATCTTTCTGCTGAATTTCCTACGTTCTTCTTTGGCTATGATGAACTGCCCGTTCTGTAGTGAATATGAGTAGGAAATTTGCTCAGCAGAATTTCCATGGAAGTTAAAGATTGATAACCACTTCACATGATTAGAGCTAGAGTTATGAATATAGAGTATATTATAAAGCAATAGTTAAATGAGTTGATGAGGGATTGTTTTCATCCAGCTCCATTGCTTTAACTAGCTTTGCTACACCTCTGCCTTTTTTCTTCTGATTCTTTTTATCTGTAAATCAACAAGAATGGAACTAAATGCTCACTACACCATCTTTTTTAATTGAGATATGATATTATTAGTACAGAAAACTCTCTACAGTAACTCATGTCTGATGACTGGAAATGTGTATGTAACTTACAATCACAGGGTTTCCTGTACAGGATCAAGTTCCTTGCTCAAGGTCCCACAGGTAGCATATTTCATATGATATGAATTCAACAATATGTTAACTTCAAGGATAGACTCTTATCCCCCTTAACACATTGCCACTCAAGGTTCAACAAACCTGAAAAATTCTATGATTCTTTCCATACAGCTCTGACCAATATAATTCCTGTTTCCTAATGATGTATGGTGGAAGTTACAACTCTTTCCATCATACTAGAGCACCATATGGAACACATACCACTTTGTCAGAGGGTACTGATATTGGACATATGTAGGATAGTTCCCATATCCTAATTCTTGGCTCTATTTGCATTTTTAAATTAGATGTTATAAGTGTGTGCCTCTAACCAATTTGTAAAAACCTATTTTTAAAAATTTTCAGTGTGAGTATTTGCTACAAATAAAGGCTTAATTTATTGTTTTGCTGATTGTCTAGACTCAAGGATGTATTGATAATTCACATTAAACTTAAAAGCGAGTACGCATAAATTTCCCTCTTCCCTTCCTCCCCAGAGAGCATTGTTTTTAAACCTTTACCCCATATGTACTTCCAAGCCATTCATTAACTGCATGTCTGCCTCACTTTTCTTTGTCCTCTGCCATGTGCTCACTGCACATATTGATCATTAACTTCCAAATACACTAAAAATGGTATTTCCCTTCTCCCTATTTTCATCAAGGTTTTCTTGCTGCTGTTCACTGTCCCTTCCTCAAGGCTCTTTATTCCTGAGCATCTTGGATTTTCTGAAATAGCTAGACTGATTGGTGTAAAAGGGGCCAGAGAATGTCCATGACTCGGCTCAGGTTCCTAAAGACTTCTGGTCTCTGTTTCCTATACAGATACGTTCACATGAAGCATTAGGGAAGGAGTGGAGAACACACCTCCTATGTCAGGCCTCAGCTTGTTGTCATATCCTTCCAGTAAGCCATTTAAGATGAAAGTGACATCTCCCTCTGGGACTTTCGGAGTTAAAACCCATGTTTTGTTTGAAGCGTAATCTTCATAGTCATCATCAGATTTCTGGCTACTGAGGCTAAAAGAACAAAAGGTAGACAAAAAATTCACAGAGAGACTATATCATCTTTAGCATCCCATTCACAGACCCTTAGTGGGAGCAACAAACAGTGAGTTCATAGAAAATCAGCACAATAAAAATATTCATCAATAGATTCTTTGTAATACATTTACATTGCATAAACAGTAGTTACAGCTGATTCGCGTGCATTCTACTATTACCTGAAGTACTACCCATCCCAATATACCTGGCCATCTATAAGTAGCCCAGAATTTATTCATCTTCTCTGTCCTTTAACATTTCTGCTTCTCTCCTCTTTCCTCCCTACACCCAAAGCCAGGGAGGACACATTTTAAAAATGTTGTTGTCATTTATTTAGGTGGAAACAATACATAAATGCTAAATGCGCAGTTTGGGAATGTAGTTATAAGGTCTACATTTCCCTCTTTTGAGAGGTTAACTTGATCCAGTCTATTAATGAGAGCAAGAAACTCTTAATTAGATTCACTCCCACAAACTGTCAAACAGCTACTCCTGACACAGATAAAGTACTGCGGAAGGGTTTGATCTTTGCTGAATTTTTTTTCGAATGTGCATACACGAACATACTCATATACATAGACACATACACAAACCTATATACATACAAGACGTTTGCATTTTTTGTTTTCATTTGCACTTTGGTAAAAAAAAAATTCATTTCTTTTATCAGGTGCCACTGGATACCATTTTTAACACTACCAGTTTTTTTGTTCCTTTTGGCTAAACAGCAAGGAAACACATAATTCACTGTGATGCAAACCCTCAAAACTAGAGCTGCAAGACAACTTTTATGTGATAAGCTCCTGCTCATTGGATTTCCAAACAACAAATCACCTGAATGAACTACATGTATTTGAATACTACTATAAAATTCCTTGATATCATTTTGTTTCTCATAATTTCTCTCTTTCTCATAAAAAAATCCCTTCTAGGACTATAATAAGGTCAATATAAATTTAGCCCAATACTCTTTCTCCAGCCGCAGTGCTGAATGATGCAAATCAATGTTCATGATGACAACTGAGGTATTACATGACCTTGGCAGCCGTTTTGAATCATAAAAGAGAATGTAGATTTCATTTGATCAGAATATTAAATGAACAAGAACACTGAGTTCATCTCTTTAGATAAATAAGACTTGATGATATATCACTGCCTAACTCAGCCTACTGTTCCACACAGATATTATCCTGTATATGTGGACCTCGGTGGCTATATTAAACCTGAAATACAGTACCAATACTTCACTGTTGCCTCCTATTAGATATGTCTCAAAGTTTGCAATCTGGAAGTACATTGATTCTCCACAAAACCTAGCTAAGGAATAATTAAAGATACTTTCATAATACTAACTGCCATATTCATAACATCTTAAAATCTGCAAAACATCTTACATACAGTACATTGTCTCATTTAAGCATAACGATAATCCTGCAGGGTATATACTTCAAGCATTTTTGTAGATGCAAATATTGAAATTGAGAGGGGTTGTTTGTCCATATTGCCTAGCTACAAAGTATTAGAGATGATCTTCAAACCCAGATCTTTATGACTGCGAGTTCAGTACTCTTATCTACTGTGCTGCACTACCTGTATTAAGTATTTAACCTGAAACAGATTATCAGCTGCTTTGTTAGCTTTTACAATACATTTCACCTCTAAAGGGACAGATTATAGATCTGAAATCTATACTTGTTCGAGCAGGCATACACACATTCAATTAAACAAATATTTATTGTGCCTACTATATATGCAAAACTACCGAACTACCAAAATTACAAAGATGACACAAGACTAGATCCCTGGCATATCATAGGGTGAAAATTTAGATCTGGAAGGAAACTTAAAGGCCAGCAAATCCAATCCTTTCATTTTAAAGATGAAGTGGAAAGAAGTTAATTTCCTTGCTTGATGTAAAACAAGTAATAAGGATCTGAGGTGGATTTTGATACAGGGTTTCATCACTCAACGTTATCATTTTATAGGAGATGTTACTTAGCACAGTGCCTCGAACATAGTAGGTGCTTAATAAGTGTTTATTGATTAATTCATGTCACTTACACAATTAATTATAATCAAAGTCAGAAAAAAAGATAAATAATAGAAAAGAAAGCAAATAGGATGGCCTAGCAACCAACCTCCACCATATTAGAATGCCTTAAGATAAAATTCAGTGGAGATGCTATCAAAAGTGGAAATTTGAGATTCTCTCATAGCAGAATAAATTCTTTTCCCTCCACCCCCTTTCTGTTCCCTTTAAATTAATATCAATTTCAATTAATTAAGTTTCATTGAGTTCCTAAGGGGAGATGTCACAGTGCTGCACATCTTTTCAGACTTGACCAATCCCCAAATCCTGTTGTGTGCTGTGGCTTGATCAGAGCTTTGTCACCTTCAGGAAAAAAGCCACCAGCTTTTTTCACACAGAGAAAGTCCATTCTGCCAGGCAGGGATAGGGCTATTAGCCAGGAAAATACCTTTCCTGTAATTTTGGCCTCTGTTCATCAACCTTCCAGAGGATCTGCCTGCAAGTGCTTCATAGAAATAAAATCTTGTCACAAGTCTCATTACAATGAAAATCTCTCCATTACAAAAGATAATTTTAAATCCCAGCAATAAGGTGGAAGGAATTTGCTGATCACTAGATAGTCACAGAAAAAGGAATAAAAGCTAGGGTTCCTGACTCCTATGCCAATATACTTTTGACTTCACCAGACTACCTCTCATTTTCTTTTGTACCTTTCCAGTACCTGTTCAATACCCTATAAACAATGGTACTAGACTAATGGTATGAACCAACTAGCATAATGGATTTGGAGTAAATAGGTAAAATATTTTAAATAAAAAGATCATATGGAAATCACTTGAAAGAACATTGCTTTCCCAGAATTTCATTCACATTTCTCTTTCATGGAGCCATACACTTTAGGATCTTCTCCATAATCTGACAAAACAATGGGCAAAAACATATGGGCATCAAAAGTTCTTTAACTTAATTTTACCCTCTTTTAATTGACTGCAGACTTCACTTTTTCAGTGTGAAAATCTACTTATTTTGTAGCTCCCCAGATACACAGGAAGAGCTGTACTTACTGTTCTGAGATCCTAGATGATGGCTTCAGGCCTTCATCCAAGGTAGGCTGGGCACAACTACACACAGATGTTTTCCAGGATGAAAAATAATGGACTCCTCACTATAAATACACTAAGCTGTTCTTCCCCAGAGCTTTCTACTCTGAGGTCTAAATTAGAGGGGCAGATGCATAATCTGGGATGTTTTCCAGGATTTTTTTATCCTAAAAAGAAAAAATAAAGGCTTTTCTCTCATTCAGAATCGGCTTTTGCATTCTTTAGGGATTCTCTCTGAGCAGCAGTGTTCTCATGACCACTGGTGTAGCAACCTACAAGAAGTTATAAGTAAAGTTATATGGCAGACAGTGCTGCTTGAAATAAATGTGTTATTTTCTTTGGCATTGCCAGTGGATTTATGAGGGCCTCATATGCTAAACAATGAGTTTTGATACGAAAGGATACCAATATCTATTCATGACTCCAGAAAACCAATGCTATCTACCTCTTGATAGAGAGATGATGAATTCGAGGGTCAAAATGAGACTTATTTTTAACATGGTCAACGAGAATATTTGTTTTTCTGGGATGTTGCATATTCGTTTTTCTTTTTCATTTCTATTAGCCTGTTAGTGCATGGGAGAGAGAGAAAAAAAACATTTCTGGTAATTACAAAAATAAAACTTTAAAAGATCCTAGAATATAGATTAATTCATTTAAAAATAGTGCTTTGGAAAATGCCAAATATTATATTTTTATTCCTTCCCAACAAACTTACCACTTAATATATGGTCATTTTAATGCAAGACGTATTTTGGTATGGCAACAAAGGTATTGGTCTTGGAGTAAATAAGACCTAGGTTCAAACTTTATCTGAAACTTACTAACTATATAACCCTGGACAATTCATTGAATTCTCAATGCTCCATGCAATCTGCTAGGATTTATTTACTAAGTCAAAATAAATATGGTATGCTTTGTTGCAGGAAGATTACTGATAAAATTATAGCTCTTCTGCATATTTAAATTAGCTTTTAGCTCCAGGGCCAATAAAGCCAAACAACTTTATAATTTAGCATTTCCCAAGACCAGGAAAACATCATTGTGCAATATGAAACTGACCTCCAGGTTTTGACCTGACCACTCCACGGAACAATAACGTGAAAAAAAGAAAACAGCATCAATGAAGCATTTGAAAACACATAGACAAGAGTAGAAGGAAGTCCAAAAAGGGACACCAGAATGAAGAGCAGTTTTGAAACTTTTTTGTCAAATATAATCTATACTTAAATGTTGTATGTGGTAGTTACAGTTTAATACGCAGTCCTTTCTTTCTACCCTTCCTATATAGACATATTCATATCTGTTAGTTACTGTCAAGTTCATAATTTGAAAAATAAACAAAAACTATAATAGGAGAACCCAAAACAGGTTCCTACATTCTTCAGCTGTCCCTAAGAACAGACTTTCAGTCTTTGGCTATTGTCATATTTTCTTTATGCTTAAGATTGTGAGAGACAAGATCCTTGTAAGCCCAAATTAAAGGACATTCTAAATTTGCATTACTTCTTAGTTTGAAAGCTGTAATGGTCATCTTTGAACACTGGCATTCAACAATGGTGCCTCTGATTTTGTTTTCTGCTTGCCTTGAATACCTTTATTTTTGAGCCCCTTTTTTCCCAATGACTTTCAAGGAAAATTTACTCAGACTTTCCCTAAATTAAGACTATTTAATGTGATACTCTTTGGTGCTGACATTTCTTTGAGGATTTTGGATGACATGAAAATCCTGGTGCCAACAACTGGCTGATAACCAGTTGGTTCTGAAACAATACTCGCTTATGGTCAGTGTAAATCACTAATCTGTCACTCTGAGTAGATAGGGCTAGTGAGGCCATGATGCCTCA